AGCAACTATAAGTTTTCTTCGAAGATTTGAAGACCAAGATGGTGTAGCCTTTTGTGTGGTCGCAGTCTCCTTTCGCTATAGACAAGTTGTTAAACCTTGTTTTCACAACTTGGTCATGCTGGTAGGAGGACTTAGAGGAACGCACCCAGTCCGGAGTCCATTGTCTGCATCATCATTTCCAGAGCAGGACCGTGGACGTAATACATTCCCAGACGTCTCTCCTGGCATCGTTAGTGAGTCTCGTCATTCTCAGCACCACACAACAACCCGTCAAAGAGACAAGCAAGCCAATCCTTTGACCAAACGCGTGCTAAACATATGTGGTATCTCCCCTTCTGTCCTGGGCTATTCACATTTCCTATATCCTCGAATCACACCTTCACTGTAACAATTTGTACCGTCATTATTTAGAGGTAGGGTGGTGTGCTTCTTTGAACGGCATTCATGAAAACCATTCACACTCCCCGCTGTCGTTATCACCCCTTCACCCTTGTGCTGGGAATGTTTATCAAAGTCTGCCATATTGTTAGGCAGTCCTCCTTCACCATGTCTTATCACACTCTCCCTTTTTTCCGTAGGATCTGTCTATATCTCCCTGGTTCGATTATTTCACACGACCTCCTTCACCTCATCTGTGCTCCACGAGACGTTATTTCCCACACTCTGCGTCTGAGAGACCAACTTGAGACTAAAGCCCCTCAGTGATTCTTATGCTCAAGCCATTGCTTCATGGACCACGTTTCTGGTACAACAAGCCTAATGTCAGTTGACAAGCTCCATTCTCTGCCGTGTCTGTCCTGTTTCTATCCCTAATACCAAGTCTATGACTTTCTGTGCCCTAGTCTCTTGTGTGCCAACCCACAAATGTTGTGGTACTGCTTGCTTTGAATAGGTTCAACGTTGAACCTCCGGACTAGGTGCGTTCCTCTAAGTCTTCTTGCCAATATGACCAAGTTGCAAAAGCAAGGTCAAACAACTTGTACAAATTTGCTTCTTCAACGAGCCCACTGGAGAACGTGATGTGGGAAAACGCCTGACCTTCCTTAAAATTCACATCTGCCTTTTGAGCCAAGAGCATTCGTGTTAGCTTGGTGTAGTGATTAGCGTGTCGTGATCATACGCTAGAGTATCATGGTTTGAATCCCGAAATTGTAGTCCCTCCTAGTCGGGACGATAATACCTTTTGGGAAAAAAAGGCTATGTTAAATTCACTGTGAAATTCACTGTTAAATTCATATTGTTGAGCTTACTTCCATTTCGAGTGAAAGCGTTTGGTGAAGAGATTCGAATGTCTATTCCACCAGAAGACGACGACGGATTCCTCTTGACCAACTGTCGATTGGCTTAACTGGAACATTCATGTTGACGCTGTTTCCGAAGTAATCTCATCCGAGTCCGTCGTATGGTGAACATCATCAAAGAAAAGTATCTTCCTTACAACCAAATTCAAATTAACGAGTCGAGAAAACTCACTAACTCATCCCTAAAAAGCTGTATATTATATGTCTGACAGACATAAAGACACACATACAGGATCCCAAGTTGACAACTTTATACCTCATCAAAAAAGTCAGATATAGAGTATATACACAGCTTTTTATGGATGAGTTAGTGAGTTTTCTTGATTCGTGTACTTGAATTTGGTTGAAAGGATGACACCTTGCTTTGATGATGTTAACCATACGACGGACGAAAGCTAAGCATCTTTTCCTTAGAATCGAAGCAGACCACGTCGGAAACAGTGTCAGCAAGAATGTTCCAGTAAAGCCAATCGGCAGCTGGTCAAGAGGAATCCACCTTCGCCTTCTGGTGGGATCGACCTTCGAATCTCTTCACTGCACACTTTCACTCGAAATGGAAGTAAGCTCAAGAAATTCCTGGAAACCAACTTTTTTTCCCATTTACTACTCATATTATTGTGGGAAAGCAAGGCCATGTGAAATTCAGCTCCACTCATAACATTGTGGGAAAATTCTACTATCAGTCCTTCATCATCATAAACGAAATGGGGTGACTATATCTCATATATTTGCTAGTTTCTTCTCAATTCTCCATCTGTCTTGGTTATATTGTTCCCATCCGTGGGTTCTTAATGCGCCAAGATTGTTGGGATCATTTTGGATTGTTTCGGTAGCTTCTCAGAGGTATTTATCACACGCACTTACTTACTGTCCGAAGTGCAAAATGTAATCCCTTCTTGAGGACCCTCTTGGTTCCGAAGTCTACAGGAACGGAAGACCGATGCAGTATTTTGTCTTCATCTCTTGTCTGGACTGTGAGATCCGTCATTCTAGAGGCATCCTCACTTTTGCCGGTTGCTTGAACCCTGGACTGCCTATAGATCCTATATTTGTTCAGCTTCTTCTGGTGCCTTTTTTCTATTAAGTCCAAGATCCTTTTCGACATGCTGTCTGTTAGCTTTTGTAGTTTCAATAAATCCCCCGGCGTGACAATCCGACTCGAATCATGCCTGAGTGTAAACTTAATATGTATAAATCTAAATAGTTTTCCTCTCTCCCTATCATATGTCTTCAAATTTTGACAAAAAACTTGATATTATACATCATTGACCTTATCGGAATGATATTTCTTCATCAAATTTGAAAAATTATGATTCATACCATAACATTTACAACAGTTATGATAAGTCAAGTGGTAAGATTGGCTTGTGATTGTTTTCTATTATCTGCTGCAATCTGTGGCCATCTTACTGGCGTAATTAGATCCATGAGCTGCAATAAAGATGTCCTGTTTGATGGCAAAAGTATCTCGTTTACATTCTCGCACAAATTTGTCATTGTAGCACTTCTATTTTAATAGAGATAGCTTTCAGGCGTCATGAATTTAATGCCAGTTAACCGTTTTCCGTTATTCCATCTGCTTACTTTAAACTATTAAGTAGTGCTGATTAAAGCATTCCAACAATTCTGCCTATTTTAGAATCACCATCACAACGTTTGTGTCTTTTTATGTGATGAATTATTTTATTCTTATCTACTCTTTGACCGCTTGTTTTTTCATCTATAATATTCATTTTAGCGTTATCTCTTTTGGCCTCATTTACTAAGGGAAAGTTATTTTTCGTATGAAAGTAGAATTTCGAGACTACGAGTAAATCAGTAATATTAGATGCATCACCTTAAAAGAAATAGAGTCAATACATCTCATAAGGGAAAGTTATTTAATGTTTATAATAGTTTACTGTGTACAACTGATGCGTCTGCTTCGCTTCACGATGTAGTCTTGAGCACCATTAAATGCATTTTGGCCCGTATTCTCTGTGACCTGGTGTCAAAGTGAAAGTGGTACCAATCAGAGCTACGCGCTATTCGAACTCGCATTGCCCACGACCCGCCTGTGGTCGACAGGACACCATCTTGCTTTTATTCCATTTTAAGACTTTTCATGCTACCTCCTTTGTCTGTTAGCAATGATGTACCCTTAACTGCATGCAAACACATTTGTGTACACCTGTTCTTATCAACACATTCGAATGTTCCTACTCACGCACAAGCGCAAACATGCTCTTGAGCACGCGTACCCACGCCTTAATGAATGAGAATTGTATTCTTGCTAAATGGTTTAAGCTGATAAAGGACTGGTATATGAGTTTTCATATAATCTTCGCAAAATTTCACACAACCTTGCTTCCCAAAAGCTTTTCTCATCCCCACTGAACTGGACTGGACTGCAGTTTCGACCTCGGCTAGGTCTCAACGGGACTCGAACCCGACTTTTGATGGTGCATAGTATAGCTTCCACACGTCAACAACTATTCCACACTTCCACGAGTTCCCTTGGGTCATAGGGGAAATGTGAAATTCAAGGAAGACCCGGCATCATCACATATCGTCGCTGTAGCAACGGTGTATTTGCTATTGCAATCAACTGTACTACTTATTTTCTTTTTTAAGTAGACTCACGTGATTATCAGTAGATTTTGAAACAGAACGGTACTGGCCCAATGTTGTGTGAGGGGACGAAGGGCTGATGGTTGAATCTTAGCACGTTACCTCCTCAAGACACGTCGACTGGAAAGATACATGCATTCACCTGCAGGCTTGACAGCCCTCAATTATTTCGTAAATGAGTAGGTTCTCGGGGCTATCAGTAAATCAGATGTGTTTATTTGTGTCCCCTCTATTTCGTTTAAGCTGGTGAAGGACTGGTAGCTGACGTTTCCATTAAATCTCGCAGAGCCTTGCTTTCCCAAAAGTCCACTGGTGCCTGGATGAGAAGAACTTTTGGGAAAGCAAGGCTCTGTGAAATTGAATGGAAACTTCTACTACCAGTCATTCATCACCTTAAACGAAATTTGGTGGATACATCTCATACAACTGATTTACTGGTAGACTCGAGACTCTATTTACATACGAAAAATAAGAGAAAGTCCTATCCCAGTTTGTAAAATTAGTGTTAAAAGACTATTGGAAATCCTTAATCTTCATAGGAGAATAGCAGACCATTTGTTTGGCAGCTACAAAAGTGTGAATGTTTAGCATGTGTCAAACGATACAGAAATTTTTCTCTTTGGTGCTCTCTCTATGAATCAAAATATTACGTTTTCAGTACCGCCTGAGAGTCCAAAGCAACGGTGCATAAAGTCTACACTCAAAGATTGGTGTGAACATATTTCTCCTATTCTTTAGGATCAACTAATCATTGACCCAAGCAAAATGCCACCCTATTCTGCTGGTGGTCATACCAAATCGAATGGAACTATGAATGTCAGTAACTACAAACAAACTTTTGCTTTATAAGAGCTGTGTTCGGCCTTAGTTTCTATTGAATTTAGCAGAACCTTCTAAAGATTATTTCAAAATTCATTGGAAACATAAGGACAACTGATATGATTGTGGCAAAATGCAACTAGCAGTCCTACATCTGCAATCACATATGCCTTTGCATAAATGCACTTTAACCAACCTTCCGATACCCACCCACCAACCGCCCTCACACATACACACACTTACATGTTGTCAGGCCAACGTGGTTGTCCTGATCGCCATCATCTACGCGCTCACGGTGAAGCTGAAGGCGGACCCGAACAGGGTGTTCCGCAGGTCCATCGGCAACCGGCACTCGGCGGCGCCCGCCAGCCCTCGACGACCCAAACGGACCGGCGTCAACGGGCCGCGTCGGGACGACGTGAACACGACCCTCGACACGGGCCTGGGCAACGGCAACGCGGACAGACCGGACGGTCAGCGGAGCGGGTTGCCGACAAAGAGGCTGTCCTCGGGCCCGGCCGCTTTGGTGGCCAGTTCGGCGTGCCGCGTCTTTCTGGGCCGTCGGCATTCCGTCGCCATGTGCTCCGGCCTCTTCCAGCGCCGGCTCCGCCAGCCTCCGTGCCGCGACGGTCCGCCGGTCGGCGGTCCGACGTTGGCCCACTGCCTCGGCCTGCAGCGTCGTCGGTCCGGCGGCCAGCTCGGCCGGTCGCAGCGGACCGGGTCGGTCGGCCGGATCGGACGGACCGGGCGGCTCGAATCAGCGCCGGCGCCAGCGCCGGACCGGGTGGGCCGACAGGACTCGGACTCGACGCGGGCCGATCTGACGCGAGCGCTCTGTTGGGTGTCGGACGACGACGACGACGAGGAGGAGGAGGAGGAGGCGGGCGGGCCGCCGAAGCCGGGCAGGGCCGGAGGACTTCGGGTTCGAGTGCGTCAGATCGGCCGACCCACGAGGACCAGACGCATCTCCTCCTTCCACGGCGGCTTGACGCGACGCGAATTCATGTGAGTCACCGCGGCCGCCTCTGCTCGTTGCGCCTCCAAATCGGCCAGCTT